TCAACAGCGTCCCCTCCAGTATCTGCGTCGTCGTCATCATCTAAGGAGTGTGACGGAGCCTCGTACTTGCTCTCCGACCCGTCACCACTGCCCTGCTCATCATCGTCGTCGTCCTCTTGAACCTCGACGCGCCTCGTCCTGTCCGCAGCACCACGAGAACGAGTCCTCACTCCATGCATGGATATGGGCGTTGGTGACCCGCCCCCTATAGCACCGAGCGACCCCAACAGCCTCTTTGTTGCTCCTGCGGCGCCCTGTCTCCCTCTACCCCTCCCCGATCGACCCCTGGGGGGCGCCCGCGTGGTCTACCCTGCACTGCAGGTCTCTGTGGCTACTCTCGCCCACGTGTGTCAGGGGCCTTCCTCTTCCTCCCTCTCGTCGAAGTGTTGTCAACAATGGCAGACGACACTCGAGTAGGGAGTGGAGGAACCGCAAATGAAACGACCGGTCCACTGCACACAGGATCCGAATGACTGCGAGCCACTGGGGCCACCGATGGAATACCTCGACTGCCCTGCGAATGCTGTGCTGCTATGCTCATGGATGACGACAACCGTCCAACAGGCGTCGTCGAAGTAGGGGACGATGTACGAGGGGGAAGAGTCAAGTCGGGTCCGCGAACCACAATACAACCATGTAAGACAGGCAGCGGAGGAGCGGTATAAAATGACACAGGCCGAAGTGCAGCGGAAGTCATCCCAGCTCCAGGACTCCCTCCAAGCGTCGTCGTCGTCGTCGTCATCGTCGTCGTCATCACTGTGTGCGGCTCCGTGCTCTCTAATGTACGAGGGGCCCCTGCCGATTGGGGAGCAACCTCCTCGGCCGTGGAAGGGGGCTCTATGTCTGTCTCGTGGCCCCCCTCATCCATAACAACTCCCTCCTGCTGCACAATACCTGTGTGTGTGGCTGTCTCCATCACACACGGGTGCCTAGTGTGATGTCCTGCCACAGCCTCCCCGATAGTAAGGGGCACCTCTGAATGGAAGGGTGCAGGGGTGGTATCATCCGTGCCCGCACACGCAGATGGGTCATGCCGCGCTGGGGACTACAACGATGTGGGAACACCCTCTGTCTCTCGCGCCCTGCCGTCCAACCTAGTCTGCTGCCCAGAGATGACGGTAGCGGCCTCCAACTCCTCCGCAGCGGGACCTGTCACCTGATCCTCGACAATGGGATGCGGCTCCTCTAAAACAGTGGCATGTGTCACACGCTCCTCGGTAACAGGAGCGCTCCCCTGCTCCTCAACGGCGGGACATGGCTGTTGTGCTACACGACCCGGGACAGGGACATCACAATGCTCCTCTCCTGTCCCAACAACAGATGGCATACCAAACGATGGAGCAGCAAGGGGGGGGGCTACCACCTCCGCCGTGCGTGTCGATCCTACCTCTGTGGTAGCTGCACTAGAGCCTGCCTCACCGTCGAAGGTGGTCGCACGAAAGCCCGTATCCACACGACCGTCCTGCTGAACCCCTGCACTCCCCTCATTCGGTCTGCGACACTCGTGAATGTCCTTCATCATATGAAGGGCGTGTCTGGAGCCGTGCAGGTAGCCGTCCAGGTCATCCACAATGTCAAGCCCCCCCCATCTGTCCCACACACGAGAGACGAGAGGGTCATCACGCACTACCTCTTTCCCCTTCCCTGCTGCCGCAATCTCCTCGATCATGTCCTTCCCCTCCCAGACGTCATCCGCCTCGTAAATGACGTCCTCCTCGTCCTCATCCTCGTAGTCCCGCCCCTGCAACAGTCGTGCACTAGCACGATCCCCCCCCNCCTCATCCTCGTAGTCCCGCCCCTGCAACAGTCGTGCACTAGCACGATCCCCCCCCTCCTTGCGCCGACTACGAATCTCTGCCTCCACCTCCTCAGGGATCGTCATGCTGTCGTCATACACCTCCTCAGAGGCAGCGCTGACCTGCGGCTCCGGCGGATCCTCCACCATATCCTCCCAAACATCCACGAAACCCCTCCGGGGACCCGACTGAGCTCGCAGAAGCTGCATGTTCCAATGGATGAACACGAGCTTCCGCAGACTGTCACTCGAGAGTTTATTGCGCCTCTTTGAGTGAATGAAGTCGTGCGAGGCCCAATTCCTCTCGCAAGGAGAGGCAGTGGACCACATAGCCAGCACCTTGATGGCAACTTCCCGCAAACGCGGGAAGTCGCCACCATGCAGATACCACCAATACGCGGGGTGCATCCTCCCCGCGTCCGCCTTCACCTTGTCGTCCGTCCACCATTTTGGCCTGGGGCTCGCGTGGGGATCATCATGGTGGAACAAGTACAAAGCGAACCACAACTTGCCGTGCTCCTCTGACCCCGGGCCATCGACAGTGAACCTGGACAAATGATCCAGCGCACTCTGCACAACCTTGCTGCCAGTATCCGCCAACAAAGACACATCTCGTCGTCGCGGGTCCGTAAGGTATGCGAGCGCGTGCGCTGGCTGCCGCATCATGCTGCAACGGTACTCCACCCTGTCCAAAATCTCTATCTCCTCCTCCTCAGAAAGACCAGAGTCGCGAACTCGCTGTCTGATCCTGTCCACAAACCCCCACAGGGTGGGGGGGGAAGAACCGTCCCTATCCATGTCACGCAACAGACTATACGCCGGCTGCATGACATCCTATACGCAGTGCGCACTCTCCCAAAACAAGTCGGACATCACAAGTTGTCGAACGGGGCACTCATCCTGGGCTGCCTCCCCCTTCCATGGGGTGGAGCGCCATCTCACACTGCCCACAACATTCCTCAATATGCGCTCCTGATCGGTAAGGCGCTCCACCATCTGGAATGCTGACCCGAACCGTGTGTCACATGGTCGGATCAGCTCTAGCTTCCCTCGGCCCTTAAAGGAGCGATGATACGTGAGGGTCTTCTGAATGTTCTTGAAGAACATCACAACCTTGTGTGTGTTCTTCAAAATAGGGCGCACCCACTGGAAGCACATGATGTCTCGAAGGAGGAGACTCAAGCAATGGGCTGCACAGGGGAGCCAAGGGATCCGAGAGATGGCGTTGTTGGGATGGTCCTGCAACCGCTGCGCAGCCACCTTATTGGCGTAAGCATTGTCAGTGCAATACGCATTGACAACGTCAACGCGAATATCTTGGATGACGTCCTCCCACAAATCCGCGAGTGCCACACCAGTCTTGTCCCTCTCCGACCTGTCGACGGTGGTGATCAAGACTGGCCCGTCCTCGCCTGTTGCAATGAAGTTGACGACGGGCTTCTACGACCTTGTTGTAGCCCCGTCTGTCATCATGGTATACCCTGTGAGCTTCCATTTCGCCTTCTTCGGCGCAACTCTTTCCGCAATCTCGTGGTAGATCTCATCTGAGAGCTGTGTGCGCATGTCTATTTATGAGGGTAGGACCAAAGCTAGCCCAATCGTCACCCGCATCAATGACACCATAAAGTCATGCAGCTCGTGCGTGGTCTCGAGGCGCATGAATGAGAAAGGCACCCCAGCCCTGAACAACGCTCTCGCCCACAACCTCTTGTACTGCTGCTGCAACCCCCCATTGGCCCAACTATCCAACCTCGTCTGCAGCATTCGACGATCATGGGGCAGGACAACGCCCGATGGGCCAGATGTGCCCTCCGTCCTGATCCACGCCATGTCCAACCCCCGCCTCAAACACTGTCGTAAAGTGCCATCCGAGCGGGTCAGCTATCGCCCCGCCTCTAGGACTCGTATCCTCTCTCTCAGCGTACTGAGCTCGTCCTCTAGGCGCACACCACCAACCCGTCCCTTATCCGTCATGGGGGGACCCGCCCCTCGGCCTCCCGACTCCTCTCTGTCGTCAGCACCCCGGTCGTCTGCCATGCGTGCAGCAGGGGTGACCCCGTCATCGGCCCTCCGCAGGTCCTCCATGTCCAACTCCTCCTCGCGGACGTCCATGTGCTTCTCTGCCATAGCCCTCCCCACGGGGTCCGTGATGAAGACCCCGTCTCTCATTAACTTGTACAAAATCTCTCCTGTACAAAATATGCAGTGCGCAGCCGGGCGGGTGAAGTGGTCCTCTGCCTTCATTCGCGCCCCAACCCATATGTGGTTGCACAACGTGCAACGCAACTTGTACTGCCCCTTTCCTTGCACTCCCACCTCCTTGCCCTGACGCACCCATTCCCATACCGCATGCTTCCCTTGCAGCCAGCGCTGTCGACTCTCATCGGCCTCCTAGAAAGGCGCCTCCGCGTCCGGGAGGCTGGTGAACCTCCCTCGTGATCCTGGTCGGGACATCACACAACCTCTCTCTCTCGCTCTCTCTCTCTCTATCTATCTATCTATCTATCTATCTATCTATCTATCTATCTATTTATCTATCTATCTATCTATTTATCTATCTATCTATCTATCTATCTATCTATCTATCTATCTATCTATTTATCTATCTATCTATTTATCTATCTATCTATCTATCTATCTATCTATCTATCTATCTATCTATCTATTTATTTATCTATCTATCTATCTATCTATCTATCTATCTATCTATCTATCTATCTATCTATCTATCTATCTATCTATCTATCTATCTATCTATCCATCTATCTATCAATCAATCAATTTGTCTGTCATATTCTATGTATATTTCTATCTATGTATCCATCCCACTCTCTCACTCTGCCCAAGAATGTGCGTACGTATCTCTCTCTCCATGCATATCTCTGTCGCACGTAATCCAGCATTTCCATTACTGCCTTGGATCATAACCTGCAAAAATAGAAAGAAAAACGGCGGGTCTATTGGTTGTTTGATTGAATGATAGTAGGATTGATTGATTGATTGAGTAATCGGTTGCTCGGATGGTCGATTCACTGGTGGGTTGGTTGATTGATCAATAGATTGGTTGATTGGTTGATTGATAGTCTGGGTGGTTGATTGATTGATTGATTTATTGATTGATTGATTGATTGAATGAAGAAAACAAAAACGAGTTTGAGGGCTGGGCAGCGGGTGAGGATGCTAGAGGCCAGTCGAATCAACTCCAACTCCATCTCCAACTCCAACTCCTCCTCGCCAGACTGGACGAGGGGAGACTGGACTGGGATATTATGAGGACGCGAGGGATAGACACAGAGAGAGGAGGATTGATTTGATTGATCCGATTGAATCAATCGATTTGACTGATCGATTGATTTGATTGATTGATTGATTGATTGATTGATTGATTGATTGATTGATTGATTGATTGACTGATTGATTGATTGATTGATTGATTGATTGAAGAGGAGGAGGAGGAGGAGGAGGAGAAGAGGAACACGACGAGGAGGAGGAAAAGGAGGAGGAGGAGGATGGCAAGGAGGAGGAGGAGGAGGAGGAGGAGGAGGAGGAGGAGGAGGACGGCGAGAAGGAGGAGGAGGATGGCGAGAAGGAGGATAGCGATTTTATTTTTTTTAATCAATCAATCAATCAATCAATCAATCAGACTTGCGTTTTTGTTTGATTGATTGATTGATTGATTGATTGATTGATTGATTGATTGATTGATTGATTGATTGATTGATTGATTGATTGATTGATTGATTGATTAATTGATTGACAATCAGACTTACACTCTCACTTTGCGCTCACACACACACACACACGCTGCGCGCTATCTACAACTATGGTGGGGTACCGCCACTACCACTAGCCATGGCTACTTCTGTCCACTTCGACTTCGGGCCATCTGCATACCTCTTCAACTTCGACTTGGACTTTGACTTATTTTTAATATCAATCAATCAATCAATCAATCAATCAATCAATCAAATCGATTGATTCAATCAGATCTTGATTTGAAAATCAGGATCCGATTGAATCAATCGATTTGATTGATCGATTGATTTGATAAATTGATTGATTGATTGATCGATTGACTGATTGATTGGAGGAGGAGGAGGAGGAGAAGAAGAGGAACACGACGAGGAGTAGGAGGAGGAAGGACAAAACGAAGAGGAGAGGAGGAGAGGAGGAGAAGAGGAGAGGAGGAGAAGAGGAGGAGGAGGAGGAGGAGGAGGAGGATGGCAAGGAGGAGGAGGAGGACGGCAAGAAGGAGGAGGAGGAGGCTGGCGAGGAGGAGGAGGAGGAGGAGGAGGAGAAGGAGAAGGAGGAGGAGGAGAAAGAGGAGGAGGAGGAGGAGGAAGACGATGGCGAGAAGGAGGAACACGACAAGGAGGAGTAGGAGGAG